CACGACCAATGACGACGTATGTGACCGGGCCCTTGCTCGTGTTGGGTTAGGAACGACTTCTATAGCCAGCTCATGAGACATAGAACCGTCGCCCGCAGTGCTGTCCTATATGCAGACACTTAGGTATCACAGAAGTGTACTCTTCACTCCCATTTGTCCATTGGAAAGCGTTCCGTCTAGACCGGGCGGCGTTATTGGCCTACAGCAGGATCAGATATGATTAAACTGTTTCAACATAAAAGAACGTGACGTCTCCCTCGCCTGCTGTCTGCTGCCCGCCGCCAGTCGCTGTTCTGGTGATTTGGATGTTATTTTACAGTACCAGTACTCGTGAGCGCGAGCGCACGTTTTCAACAATTTACTGCATCATAACCTATTCACCACGGATACATTGTTGTTGCACTTCAGGTGATCAGATAACTTAATACATGTATTTTGCGATTGTTTTACAGATTTGTTACATATTGCATGTTTCTTACATGAGCAATGTTCAGTTTTCCAGTGGATGTTATTGTGAGTGGAGAAGGCGATATAAGTAGAATCCCTAGATTCGTATATCCAAATCCCTGATTAATCTGTTATACATAATTCCGATCCCTGAAGGAACCATTAATTGGTGTTACCATGCACATATGTATATATTGCTATAACACGGCTTCATAGGCTTGGTTCTAACAAAAACACTTTCCACCCAAGAGAAAAAAAATTGTATAAACTAAGGCAGATAGGACTGCGTGAGCTTCCGTGATGAGAACACAGAATAATACAAACAGTAATCTAATTGTGTCAAGCATTGATTACCATAGACATATGTATATTCAATTCGGCAAATCATATAAAACCAGTTTTCCATGCCGTTAAGGACTGGAGTTTGGAGGGTTGCGATTTTGCATACTAGTATTCTTAACGTAGACGTAATTGAAGGTCAATTACGTTGTCTTTTAGAAACGTGATCTTGAATGCTGCCTTCTAAGCCAAAATGTTATTCCATATCATTCATGCTTATTATCATCTATTTTTGTTGGACCCTAAGTTTTTTTTGCGTTATTGAAGGTCATATGGGATGTTAATCAGCTTGGCGGGCTGGCTTGGTCGCCGAATTGTTTCAAATCTCTGCCGATGCAATAGGATAAAAGGAGTTTCACAAAAAGGCATCTCCAGAAGTTGTGGACGCCTTGCGCATGCGCTGGTACCCAGAATGCACTGCCTAGTAGTCTGGTTTCACCCGAGAGTCATATATCCTGACGAACATCAGGAGAACAGATGAAGGTTCGGAGCTGCGGGAGGAAATCATTCTCCTCACGTCCCGCCGTGCCATGCAGGACCCCTAAACCAATTTGGGAGACAGCAAATACGGCCGGCTGGGATACGTCAGAAAAAAAACCTGCTTAATTATTCACAATTATTCCTCCGGATTCCTATCCCCAGGGAGGCCTTGTCCATGATGTCATACCCTTTTAGGAAATTTATCAGAAACGTCTATTTTTGACACGCTGTGAATAAATAATTTGCGGAACAAAGGGAAGAAATTAAAGAACGTTTTTGCGCATTTGATGAAACGTGAATCGTTAATTTCCCGCTTGTTTGTCGCGCCTCTCCGGGCTGGTGCAGAAGAGAAAGGCGGTTTGATGATAATGAAATATTAGGGTTCAGCGCAGGCGGTCACGTGACGGGGGCCCTCGGACGTCGGTCTGTGCGTGGGGGTTCCAGGGAAATTTGGAATTGTCCTCTGCAACCGTCTGTCTGGTGGTGGTGGTTTGTAGAGCGGACCTGTCAGGCCGGGGCGACCATGGTGAAGGTAGGCGTGTACTTGGCGTTCACTTCTCTCTGCTTGGCGTGTCAGCCGTTCGCATGTTGGATGTGGAGTGGGCGCGGTCTGCGTCCGTAGCGGTTTTCCTACCTTCTATTCCCTGCGCTCTCTTATACATACTAACGTTGAGTCATCGATTTTTTGGCAAGGCGACAACGCTGCTTGAAAGCGAATAAAAAAAGAATTGGGGGCGGCCATGTTTGAAAAGCTAAATGCAAAACCCAACATGACATCATGGTTGAAAATCGGTGAGTTTCTCCCATTTGGTATTCCGGTGACGAAGCCGTTAGCGCTTTTGTGTGTGAGGTGTCCCTCTGCATTCTCTCTAACGCTCTGGGCTCTCCGTGGCGCCGGCTGACAATACACCGTTTCACCGGAACCAACATGAGAACTGGGGTAGCAGGACAGGAGGTCAGTTTTAGGGGATGGGGACAAGCGGGGGGATTCTGCACGGTGTTAGATGCTTTCCTCTCGAGTTTGCACGCGTTTGTATTGGCAGTTTTTAACTGACCACGTATGAAGAGGAATCCTCCAGATGCAATGTTATATAAGTTGTACAGTTGTCGTGCTGATGTGGCGATTTATTTGTTATGGTTAGCGGAAACACACCCAACAAAACTGAAGCTTGTTCTGTCCTATTGTTGAATCTCGGAGTTTTTCGAGCATCTACTATAAGTGTGCTATAGCTCTTATTGGTTATTATATTGCTCGTAAAATGAAAATAGCGTTTTGGAATTCAGAATTAGAAAATGATAACAGGATACTTATATACAGGTGACTTATTGGTACAATGTAATCTAAGATGTCTACAAGATGTACCGTTCGATTTCTGTCAATGCAAAAATGTATTAACATGATGTGTTCCTTTTTATTCGTTAATTTTTCGAAACGTGTACAAAATCTGTTCACGATAAGTACTGTCGTGAACTTTTCTGTCCGTTCTATTCTATATTCCGATGTCAGGATATGACAGTTCAACAACACTCATTAACAAAGACATAAAAATCAGCGATATTAAAGCTTACTGACACGAATGTAGTCTCGCCGGGAAAACATCCTGAATGGGGAGGGCAGATGGTTCCCAAACATGGGGCCAACCGTTAAGCAGAGGTCTGTAATCTCCATAATTACACGCCACATTTGGAATAACTGCGGCGGCACAGTTCGGTTGACAACAAGCCAGAAATGGCGGTCCTGTTGCACGCCGTGTCTGGATTTTGTTACCTTTTTGTCATATTCCGTAATTCGTGTTTTATAGACCGTGCAATAATCGACTGCTTTCGCCGTGACGCGTTATTTGCACTGAGGTTGATTGCATAACGCTATATCACTGATTAATATGCAAGTCTGTATGTAGAGCGCTGCTCACCGCTTTGACACCGCACCCAGTAGTACATTTTCATTTGTTCCATGTTCGTGTTGTTGACCGAAGTAATTTGTGAAATTTGTTCTTCACCCCGTGTTTATAAGCTTGTGATCTAAAGTATATTTTCATACCCATGTCCCAATTCTATAAATCTAGACGTTCCGATAAAATCTCTGGCAGTAATTTCCTGTTAATACATCATGCTGTCCACTTGTATAAAATAATCTCCATTCTGTAATCATATAGCATGATTTAATGGGATCAGGAAAATGGAATATCCGAAGCTTTTACCCAAAAGAATAGAGGATATGATTGCAATATCATAAAACTTACATATGCAGCATATTTATCATTTTCATATCAACGAATATCATGTATCTCATAGATATTAATGAATTGTGTGAAAAAAAGAAACTTATCATTTGCCGTTGACAATGGTTTTCTGTCATGATTCAAATCTATGACTCAGAAATTCACATTACGGAAACATGAAATCAAAACACAGGGGAGATAGCCGAGTTGTCGGTAAATATCACGCTAAAATACTGCAGATAAAGCGGTAAACTGAATGTTCTTGCAATCTGTAACCTGTAAGTATAATATGGTGATTAGAATAGACTGAGGCACTTTGGATGAATATGTCAAATGTCTCTCTATCTGTGTCTTATGAAATTTGATCCCCAATCAAAGTAAAGGTTTTTGCTGAATACCTGATGTAAACGTAATAACGAAACTTGAAACCACTATTCAGCTGTGAGGCATTGTTACCGTGTAAACCAATATCGGCTTATAGGTAAAATTACATCCCTTATTCTGAAAAATACACATCGTCTTTGTTAAGTATATAATGCCTCTATTAGACTATCATACTTACCCGTCGCTCTATGAACTGGTATGATTGAACATGACGTGTTCCATGACGTAAGATATTTCACATTAACCAGACCAGCAGTCATACGGCAGCCATTTTGTCTACACGGTCACGTGATCCATTCATCCCAAATACAGCCCTTGATGTAGGTATTAAACATATCATCTCAAAATATTGTAACGGGTCAGGGATGATAAAGATACATGTATCCAACTTGCGTCAATAATTTCCGAAGTAATAAGAAAAGCAAATACCATAAACTGGTTGGATGAACTGGATATTTCCCTGTAGGTACCTAATAAGGAATATTGATGTCCAAATATGGTTACAAGGTAATTCCATTTGGCGAAACCAGGACAAGTGTTGATCTTCATCGATATCCGTATTTGAAATCTATGGCAGCTGCAAACAGATGCACAAGGCGTGTGCGTAGAGACATGATTAAGCTTTGTGTAGCACGTTTCAATTTCAGAACGATCCCCTATGACGTAACCGCATTGGTATGAAAAACTGTGATCAGGAGAAGAGCGGCAAATCCACCAGTCGGTGTAGAATGCAATCGTCTCCTGTCCTCTGTAAGCTGGTTGAAAAATTGCATTTATTGCAGTTTGCTGTGGAGAGTACAGCGCTTTGGAATGTAGCCAAATAGGAACTACTCAAGACGTTCCATTAGGTCTGAAGACATCCTGTCGAACGATGAGATATTTTAAAAATATAAAAATGGGAGAATGAGAATAGTCTCGAAATGGCTGGATTATGACCTTGACTTTGAAATAAAACATTCAAACATAATTATATCCCTTTGACAATCATACTTGCAGACTAATAAAGCTGTCCCAGACTAATGAAAGTAGCCATGCGTCTTCAGTGCCGCTAGTCTGAAGCAGTCTGGGTCAGGGGGTGAAGTCTGCCATCCCTGATTGCCCTGTTGTTCTTGTCTCGTGTTTGTCCAGACGGCGACCAACAGGATCCACATCAAGGGTGGACGGGTGGTGAACGATGACCAGTCTGTGGAGGCGGACGTCTACATAGAGGAGGGCGTGGTCAAGTAAGTACCGAACAACCACGCTGATCCATCACTTCATCCATAGACAAATGTCATAAATATCCTAAGACAGACTGTGCCTATACGGCTTACAGCTGAGTGAGTGAGTGAGTGAGTGAGTGAGTGAGTGAGTGAGTGAATGAGTGAGAGAGTCAGTGAGTGAGCAGTGTCTGAGTGAGTGAGTGAATGTGTGAGTCAGTCAGTCAGTCAGTCGGTTGGTCGTAATAAATTGCACTGACATTCTGGCAACTTGGCTAAAAGTCAACAATTACCTATGGGAATAAAATAGAATACACAAGTAAGTACCTGACAGCGACACCTTTTCTTGAATCTAGAATAAAGCTAGCGACTGGGATATTATGAAAATAAAAACTAAAATGCACCACTCATCTTTCCCTAGAATTAACCTTTCCCGGTGGAATTTGTAAATTTCGTATGGGACGCTGTTTCGCCGGGTGCAATTTTCACAAAGCCACCCCTGAGTGACTGAATTGATTTATGGCTAATGAAGAGTTCTGGTGCGTGTCCTTCTCATGCTCTAATAAGGTCTCAATGGCATCAACGTGTGCATCGATTTTCACACACATCCTCCCATCCGGAAACAAGACAAGGATTTGTGACAACGCAGTATATGAAACGAATATGTTGGGTATCATATCAAAAGGACAACCAAAGAACAAGAGGAAAGAAATGCATTGACTGCCAAAACATGTCTTTAGTTACTTTGAAATTTTCATGATCACTTACTAGATTTCATTAGGCAATTTTCTTATCTCTGCGCGCGCTTGTATCAGTTCTGGGTTGTCCAAACTCCAGAGGATGTCATCTATAGAATTAAGACTGTAAGGTTTAAATGAGATGGATCGATCTGGTGCGGCGAGAGGCGACGCGGTGGCGGGTCGGCATTAGTTAATTGAAGGCGTCGGTGTCTCATCTGTCCGCTGTGCATCTTTTGACATTTTAGCTTGCCACAAAATCCCGATATTCCTTACTCGTTGGGACAGAATATCACGATGTTCTTACGTGAACAAGTGAAAATCGTACACCATACGGTTCCTCAAATGCGACTTGTTTGTCGCTTTTCGTTCTTGTTGTTTGATTCACAGAACCGGTAAACGGCCTAAATAGGAGTAAAAGTGCCTAAGGATGCAAAATTGGGGCCTGCTAGGGATTCTATACCAGAGCGTTTACATTCCAAGGAAAGCCTTCCAATACTAACCATGACCCCACCCTACTATCGTAATGTTCAGGGGAGTCGGGAAGGACATCCTGGTGCCCGGCGGCGCCCGGATCATCGACGCCCGAGGGAAGCTGGTCCTGCCGGGTGGGATCGATCCCAACACGCACTTCGAGATAGAGAGCCATGGCGTCACCTCCGTGGACGACTTCTACAAAGGCACTAAAGCGGCACTGGTGGGCGGTACCACCCTCACAAGTAAGGGGCGCTGATTTTCCTCGAAGTGCTATGAGATATTTCGTTATTGGGTGGTGATGGAAAAGTAAGAGGTGCTAAAAATGTCTTTTGTGAGTTAATATCTTACAAATGTTGAACTGAACACACGTCTTCTCCTGTGTGAAAAATGTCGAGATTTGATTTTTATATGTTTTCCCAGTTGACTGTGTCCTGCCTGAGAAGGACGAGAGTCTCGCGGAATCTTACGAGAAGTGGAGACAGAAGGCTGACGGGAAGGTGGTGTCGGATTACAGCCTGCACGTGGCCGTCACGTGGTGGGGGGAGAAGGTCAAGGACGACATGGCACTGCTGGCCAAGGAGAAAGGTCGGCAACTCCCCAAAACATCTATCAACTCTTGCTTTAGTAGACCAGGTTATCATTAAGACTTCTTACAAGTGACATTGTCCTCTATTTCCTTAGGTGTGAACTCTTTCCTCGTCTTCCTCGCCTACAAAGACAAGTACCAGCTGACAGATAGTGAGGTGGGTCCCTACGGTAGTTTTACATCATCATCAGTGTAATATTCAGTATATTTCTCATTTGTACTAAATTTATATAAATATTTCCTTGTTCTTTTAACGATAAATGGTCTCCCAATCGTTGAAAGTGTATCCCTGTCCTTGGTGCTGAACGTGTTATATTGTGATGTTAAGTTGTTTTCCCTGTCCTTGGTGCTGAATACGTTTCATCTGCGATTGTCCAGAATCTCGCGCTCAATCAATGGTGTTAAACATATACAGTGTTAAACATCTTTTCATGCCTCTCTCATAAATGAGAAATGAATTACCGTGCTAGGCCAAGATACCGGACATTTTGTTGAGCACCACAGTATTTTTTTTTTATTAGAACAGTCAAAAAGAAAAGAGAAATACAGACGAGATGGCGACGCACTCAAGTTACATCAAACTTATATCAACGCCGCCATCCACCACATAACATTTGAACAAAGGTGTAAACAATTGACTAAATAAATAAATCAAATCAACAAAATGGGGTAACTTAAGTATAAATCTGGATAAGCGCAAGTCCATTCTCCCCTCCCTTAAAAATATTGGTAGGACACAAGTAAAATCAATCAGAGGTAAAACGACCAGTTAGGACAATGAAATTTTCACCACAGTATTTGGTAGCTTTCTTAACACTGGAAAGCGACCAGTTTTTATTTAAAATCTGTTCGATATGCCAGGAGTTATTGATGAATTCTTGTGTCTGCCTCCAGCTGTACGAGTTCTTCACGCACTGCCGGGAGCTGGGTGTTCTTGCCATGGTCCATGCCGAGAACGGAGACCTGGTAGCCGAGGTTAGACACGTCCCAGTTCACCTCCACAACTGTACTAACCGTTCTAAACAATCCTAAACGTGTGCGTCTAGTTCATCTCTTAAAGCTACGACACATAATGCCGATATGCATCGAGGACATGTCATTTCCCTGAAGGATCACGCCTGCTCATGCTCTTAAAAGCCCATTATGTAATATTAGGACAATTTAGAAAGTTTTCTTCCCCGTCATTTCTTTACATAGTAAGAGAAATTAACTCTATAGCATGGCATCACATAACAAAAGACGCTGTTCATGGTTTTATTCTCAAAAACATGTTACATAATGGACCTTTGACGTATTCAGCTCACGCCCATACCACCTTTAGAGTATTGTGTCATGTCCATAACACCTTTATCTGCCACAAGATGACGAAGAAGATGCTTGGGATGGGGATCAGAGGACCGGAGGGTCACGTGCTCAGCAGACCTGAGGAGGTGAGTTGTATTCCACACGCTGTTTGATCTCTCGTGCATCCGTATCTTTACACTTAGAATAAGGGGCTATCTTCACAACTATTTTCTCTTCCTCAATGTAGCTCGAATCGGAGGCTGCACAACGTGCCATCGCAATCGCCAACCGGGTAGGTCAAACTTTTGGTGTAAAATAAAGCATGTCTCTGTTTTTATATTGTGTTAAAGTCGAAATAATGTAATCATGGTGTTTAGCTTTGTATCCATACTGTATTATTTCCCTGTCCCTGGACGAATTTACTTATCGTTTTTTAAAGAATGCCCTCCTTTCCCGAAAAGCATGGTCCTGTCCTTAGTTCTGAATGTGCTGTTCTGCAATGATGTCTTCTCTGTCCCTGGTGCCTAGCACGTTTCACTTTAGATGGCCCAGAATCCGGCACTCTTTCAATGGTGCTGAAGACGTTTCTGGTTTTTCCTGGAAAATCTAGTATTCCCTGTGAGTGACAGTGAAATATGGACAGAATCAGGGGGAAATTCACAATAACGAACAAAACAAGAAACAGACAAATCTACATACTTCACGGAAGTGTGAAATCTTGTTAGACTGGTTTAATTCGTGAAAAAGAAAGAAAAGAGCATCTGTTACACTTGTACTTGTCTGGTCCGCAGGTGAACTGTCCTATCTACATCACCCGCGTCATGAGCACGAGCGCGGGTGACGTCATCGCGGCTGCCAGAAAACGCGGGAACGTGGTGTACGGGGAGCCCACGGCGGCCGGGCTGGGGACGGACGGGTCGCACTGCTGGGACAAGAACTGGAAGGTCGCCGCAGCTCACGTGACCGACCCGCCTCTCCGACCGGACCCCTCCACACCGGACCACCTCATGGACCTGCTGGCAAAGTGAGTAAGACGTGACAAGTAGCAACCGTGTTTTTCCGAGTAATGTCTATTGAAAAATCGTGAAAAATACCGACCATTTGACCATGTTTTTTGCAAGTAAGATCTATTTACAAATAGTGAAAAATGCCGAACTTTAATAATTTTTTTTAGTAATAAGTATTGGAAAATCGTGCAACACACCAACAGTGCATATTGTTTTTCCGAGTAAGATCTATTCAGAAATAGTGAAAAATATTGTCAAAGGTTTTTCCGAGTAAGATATACATTATTGACAAATCTGCTTTGCACTTTGCACAATTTGGTTTCAACTTAAAAATAATTATTTGAAACCCCGCCCTCTCCCTCTTCCAGTGGTGACCTCCAGACAGTGGGGTCAGACAACCGCACCTTCACCACCTCCCAAAAGGCTGTCGGGAAGGACGACTTCAGTAAGATCCCGTGCGGAGTGAACGGGGTAGAGGACAGAATGTCGGTCGTCTGGGAACGGGGTGTGGTCAGTATCTCGTCAGAGTGTGGCGCTGTCCTTAGTGCTGAATGTATTGTTGTGAAGTTGTCTTCTCTGTCCTTGGTGCTGAACACGTTTAACATTCGGTGGTCTAGAATCCGGTACTCTCTCAATTGTATTGAATACATTTTCAGATCTCTCTTCGAAATGAATTATAACCTGTAAATGAATTATTATCCCTAAACAAAGTCCTAATTCCTAATGTGATAACAAACATATCTGATACCAGCAGCTGCTGTTAAATACATGTTTCATGTATACTTTGTCAGGTTTCTGGAAAGATGGATGAGAACCGGTTTGTGGCAGTTACCAGCACCAACGCTGCCAAGATCTTTAACATGTACCCAAAGAAGGTAAATAGTCTTCTTTTCTGTTATTTTCCTGCTTTCTGATTTTGTTTGCCACCTTTTGCTGTCTTTTACTGATGATTTCATATCCAATCAAAATTGATCAGTCCTTTTGTCAGGCTTCTTTTTCATTTTTCTTTCAATTTTCTTTCTTTTCTCTAATTATCAGCAAAATGAAGTCACCTGTATCTACATTTTCTATGTACTTAATGGTGTGCCAATAGGCTTATAATGCTTTAGTTCATGGGTTTGCCTGAAATCTCAATTTTGGTGTGCCATCCTTCCCCACAGGGCAGAATTGCTGAGGGCTCTGATGCTGATGTCATCATCTGGGACCCAGAAGCAACCAGAACCATCTCAGTTAGAACACATCATCAGGTAAGGGGTGATTTTGGTATGAATCTGTAAGCTGATTTGTTGAGTTCCAAAAAACATTAAGTGACATATATCATGAAACTGCAACATGTATACTTGACTGTATGATGTTCCATGACCTCCTGTTCTTTGCAGGCGGTTGATTTTAACGTGTTTGAGGGTCTGACGTGCCACGGCGTACCACTCTATACTATCTGTCAAGGGAAAGTCGTCTGTGAAGACAGTGGTAGTGTGGTGAGTCACCTAAATTATCCAGAACTATCTACATATAGATGGTAATTCAGTTCACAAAGTACCACAGAATCACCAAGAAAGTTCTATCAACCTCATTGAAATAACTATGGATGATACTATGATTTCAAAATCCAAACATAATCTTGTTCATGTAGATATTTGTTAGACGTGATGCTGTTTCAAGAAGAGGCAAAAAAAACTTTCCTACTTTTTGAGAATGAAAAGTAAATGTATGGATTTTTACACCAGGTACACGTGACACAGGGTGCAGGCAGCTGGGTGCCGCGGGACCGGCGCTGTGATCACGTCTTCAAACGCATCCACGCTCGTGAGAAGGTACAATATTTTAGCATCATTATTTCAACAACCCAAGAGAATGAAGATTTTTTAGTGCGGCTGTATGTCTGCCTGGTGTTGAATCTGCCCTCTCTGATATTGTCTTTGGGGCTGGGTCACAAAGCAGTATGGGTAAGGGGATGAGGTCTGCCATCTCTGAACTGCCATAATAAATACTCCAAGAATGTGAAGTAGTGGGGTTTTTTTTGCTTGTTCGTACTTGTGTATTCCTGCAGTGCAGTTTCTGTGTGCTCTGCACTTACCATGTGAAATATGAAGTCTGCCATCTCTGATTGCTTGTTGCAGCATTAACTGATCCTGTGTGCTGTTGTTCCATCGCTGTTGTAGCTCCGAGTTCCGAAGCCCGTGGAGCGAGAGCCGTACGACGGTTCTGTGGCAAAGGCTGAGCCTGAGGAGCCTCTGAAGGTCGCGCAGCCCTCCAAACCCAGCATGGAGGACGTCACCACCAGCACCGGCGTGCGAGACCTGCACAAGTCAGGATTCACACTCGCAGGTACGGGCCTTCTACTGCTTTTTATCTTTTCAATACAAAAATAAAACAAGCAACTGCACAAATTCCCTACAGAGCCACTGGAAAGTAAATTCTGATTGAATATATAATAATCAACTGATTACTTGTTGTTATGAATTGTTCTAAGTGTAAATTCTCTAGACCAGTGTGAAAATCCATTCTGAACAAACTATCATCAATGTTCCCTCATTTCCTCCAGTATTCAGTTTCAGGACCAGGCACAATCCTTGATTCATCTATGTGTGAGGCCACACCATCTTAATAGAGATGGCAACTTGGAAGACCAGGATTTCCTTAAACAAATATGAGCATTTGGGGATTCATATTCTGAGTTGTACACTTCAAATCAGCAAGAAAAGTGAAGCATGCAGCAAATCCAAAGAAATCAACCTAGCTGGTGTGGCCTAACAATGCAACCTAAGATGGGCTCTGAAGGCCGGAACTCAATCCTCTGTCTTCACTCAACCTTTCACTACTGTCTCCCTCGTCACATTTCATTTTCCTCTTTACATCACTGATAAGGCTACAGTAAGGTACCAGACTTCAAAATAGCAAGACCCCTGAACCCCCTGTCCCAGCCTAAGTCATTTACTCATCACACCATCCCCATACATTTCACTGGAAGAAAATGAAGGAGCCATACTTCACCCCATCACTAGTGACTTTTTCTCTGAGCACACTGATCTTGTATGATCCCGATTATGTAGAACGCGGGATCAGAGATCTCCGCAAGTCTGGATTCAGCCTGTCAGGTTAGCGATCTGTACTGTTCCCCGTTACAGTCAATCACCAGTTTCTTTATCTTCATCAGAATTACTGCACCTCAAACCATTGTAATGAAACACTGTGACTTGTAGTTTACATTCTTAAACCACAAAGTCTTGCTTTTGTAGATTACAAACTAGTTTTGCTTTTGTGTGCGAGAATATGCATCATGTCAAGTTCAACACCTGCTATAAGCCCTCAGTAAAGTACCAAAAGAAGAAAATTGGTTGCCTATGACTTGGATGTAAAATTTTAAGTTTTCTTTCTTTTCACGCCAACAATTGAAAGTACAAAACTTCTCACTGGCAATGACTTTGACAGTCGTCTGTCATGTCATAGCCTTAATTTTTTCCTTTAAATGTTGTGTTCTTTCCTTAGGTGTTCCCAGGAACAAAGTATAACAATTGTCTCTTTGATGACCATACTCTTGTGACTTATTACTGCAATTTTACCTTAGATCATAGGTCCTCCTGTGCCTACAGGCACATTGGACAGCAAGTTTCCATCTAGTGCTATTGGCCATTCCACCACTGTACTCTATATCGTCACTCATTTATCAAAGCACTGTTCTGCATGGTCTTCATAAAGACATCTTATTTTGTTCATTTTTCTGCAAGCTTAAGTTTTAAAGACACACGCATGCTGGTGACATGATAGACCTTATAGAACACTCATATATCATGTTACCGTAGTAGTAAGGACACATCTCTTTGTCTTCTTGGCTCTCAAATTTTTGCAAGTAGGAAAATGGGAATATCGAATAAACAGTCATTCTGTGATGATAGCCCCACATGCCATAATGGGAGCCACAAAGTCAACATGACACTAAGATTAATGTTTGAAACAATGAATTGGTAAATGGGAAAACTGTAACAATTAAGAAGAAAAGGACTTTCTTCAACTGTCAGGGCTGATTCACATCTAATGCTTTTTTTATCAGAAAAAAATGAAGAGTCAAATCTAAGAAACACTTGATGTGACCTAATCAATTCTATTGGCCTAATCAATAGTAATAAAACCACCTTTATTTTCTGCCTCAGGTGAGCAGGTGGATGACAACGTGCCACGCCGAACAGGTCAGCGCATCACCAAACCACCAGGGGGCAGCTCCAGCATTATCTTCTAAACTCTCCAAGTGTCCAGCCTCTTGTCAACAGAGCTTGAAAAAAGCAGTGTCCCTCTTCCCCCTATCTTGGTGCAAATGGTATATAGTCTGCACTCCACTCAGAATATGCCAATTTGTTGCAGTGATGGAAAATTTCTCAAAAGGTTCAAGAAAGGGTTAAGTGGAATGATAAGCATATTACTTACTGTACTTCACTACATACTACCTTCTTGATACAAAGGAATAACAAAAAACAGTACGAAAACGGTTTCAAAACATTTTGCAAAAAAAGGGCAGCATTGTTAATGAAATTTTATGACAATTTACCATCTTGCACATTTTTCATCTACAAACTAATAATACACTAAGTCTTTGAAATTCTGGATGAGCTGAAATGCTAGCATCTGTCTGCAGTTGTGCGGTGCCTAATGTTACAACAGTCCTGTACTGTGCCACAATCACAGCGGACTATAGTGCAGTGTAACCAACAATGTAATGTTAATGATATTGTTATCCGATATAATAGGATGTTTTCTTGTATAGCAAAGAAACAGGCAATGTGTTGACAGCTTAATAAAGCCATGGGGCTAGTCGTTAATACACATGGAGAGGATGGGTCTTAAGAAATATTTCTTGCAGCCAAAACTTTCACTTCCTTTCATTTCCTTCTAAAGAGGGACAGCAGGATCTTTTTTTTTCTGAATATGTTCAATTTTGGTGTACTTTTTTTGACAAAAAAAGGTCAGAACTGTTCTTTTATAATTGTTGGTTGATCCCAACGAAGCCATAGTTTTGGTTTGCATCTTTTAACTAAACCTTCCATGAGTTTAATGACATGTCCTCGCAACCAAGACAGTTGTTGATAATTGGTAAGATGGTGCCATTATTTTCTTTACTGAACATTGTACCAGGCGTACATTGCCATAAATCTGTTCAACCAAAGTTTGTTATGATTTGTGTTAATCCATAATAATCAAATGAAGATGTTGACTGTCTTCCTCTCAGCCAATCAGAGTACAATGACAGATGAATCACACATTTTGATTGGTTGGTTGTGGACTTGTGATGCCAAAATCTGTCTGCTCATTGGTAGAAGTGCAACACAGTGTAGGTACCTGTTGTCTTGTTGCTGAGTGAGTTTTACAAAATATCTAACTTTTTGGAAGGAAGGAAGACTAAGGTAGAGTTAAATGCATGTTACTGTTGAGTTGCAACAGACAAAAGAGTAGTAAGAGACAATTTAACGTGAAGATAAAGCTACTGTGAAGCGCTTGGTCAACGTATTAAAGCCAGCTAATTAAACGCTAACTTCTGTCTGTGTTTCTTTGTGGAAAAATCCTCATAACCTTTTATCCTCTAGTCTACAAAGTATAACCACTCCATTTGGCCATATACACATACACAAGTCACAGTAATCAATATTGCCTAAGGATAGAGGAGAGATGCCTCAGCTTTAAGACCAAAGCCTCTGTCAACAGGGCTGTCCCTGGTGCTGAACGTGTGTCCCTGTCCTTGGTGCTGAATCACAACACAGGTATCTCAGGTGGTTTACTGGAAACGTTAAGAAGACTGAGCTTGCCCTTTTTGTCACATTGAGTCAGAAATTTATCATTTTTGACTGCAGAGACACCAATTGATAAAGATCATTTTGCAACAATAGGACAATTATGTTCCTAAAAATGTAAAAATGACAGCAAGAAACATTTTCTTTTGAGATTTTGTAATAATTCACTTCATATACTAGTATACATGTAAATGTAGCAACTCTAAAATGTAAATTAATTTACTTTCAGTGTTTTTATTTTGCAGAGGGAAAAGGAGGTTTTCATGGTGTTTTAAATTTGAAGTTGAAACAATTCTGTCATATAATGCTTACATGTAGTAGTCAAACAGAATATCAAAACGTCATTGATTGTGTAAGAATTATGTCAAAATTCTTTGATCAAACCTTTAGTTTTGCCAATGTTTTCCTTCTTCAGATATGAAAAATCAATGTAAACTTAGCATGATCCTTATTTGTCTGCTGAAATAAGGATGTTTTGAAGCCTAGTCCAGGGAATGAGGAACCCTGCAGGTGTTTCCAATGTGGTAATATATTGATTGTCTATTCTATGTGGGCTTGGGACATCCGGCCACTGTAGTCTCCATGTACTTCATATCTGTAAGAAATGATATTGCAGGAATTATACAGTTACAGCAAGTTTACAATCTATGGACACACACACATTTTGGGGAAACAAGACAGCTAAATTTTGAACACATTTAAGTCCTTACTCCAAGTACAGTATATCATTCCTCATTAGCAGGTTCAGGTATGTCAGGGCTGTTATAATATGGCTGTCATGTAACATTTTATGTCACTTCTGGACATTCTCATCTGCAGTAAACCTTGCTCAATAGAAATGCCTTAGTGATCAATCTAGGTAAACTTGGGAATTACAACAAAATTTCTGACCAAAACTTTTTCTTGTTCTTTTCTAAGCTGGTATTAGATACTAAGTAATCAGCATATCCACCAATACTCACTCAGTCCCTTCACAAATCCCACCAGGTTCTTGTAGTTTTGCCCGTCATCGCAGTAAGCCCCGGCGATCTGGGAGATGGAGAAGGCACGGAGAGTGGTGCCCAGGGGATGGATGGACGGCTTCATGTCATCTGTCAGGACAAAGTTCAGGGTGTCGTTGTAATGGTGAACCAAGGTCGTATGCACACCCTGTGAAGAAACAGTTTAATGGTGATAAATCAGACTTATTGGCTCTTGTTAGCTCATGTAAGGAGGTTTTGTTTTCAGTGTTTCTGTTTTGCTTGTGTTTCTGTAGTTATTTCCACATGTGAGGCACATTGAGGACACTGACAACAAGTAAAGTCAAAAGGCCTCAGAAACGACCCAGAAAAGGTCTTGTTTCCTGCCTTCATTATCCTTCTATATTTTTTTTGCCTCATGTGAGCCAGTGGGTAAATGCATTATAGACAAAATCACTACTTCTTTTAATATTATTGAAACCCAACATTTTTCAAGCACATATCTGGAGGCCTACACAGGATGATAGTATATTTTTTAATAAAACGACATATTTTACTAAGCCTAAATAAAGTACCTGAAGGATGAAAGACGCTGAGATGTTGTAGGGCCTCAGGTCATCACCTCCAATATAGCGGTACCTGCCATCAGCACCACCTAGCAGTCCACGGCAGAACAACAACTTTGTTTACAAACTTCACATACGAGCATATATGGATCGAAGTTGCCAGCACTCAGCGGTATGATGTATCAACAGTTCACACAAACTTAACATTACAGGAACCAGATGTCAAGTACCAGATGACAAGTTTGTTGGAAGAACATTAAGTTTTTCTTCTCGATCTTGATTAAACATTTGTGTCTTACCAGACTATGTTGTTCATATACATGTACATGATGTTTTAATAAATCAGATGGTATCTAATAACGTTTATATAATAATAAATAATAGAAGTGCCTTAGAACATAACCTTTGATCAATTCAACTAATCATTTAACTTGTTTATAGTCTGAAGAATTACAGTCAGTACTCACCATTCTTGAGGCCCATCATTATCTTGTTGTAGGCAGCCTCACTGGTCATTCCATCTAAAACGTTTAAATGAAAAGTTGTCCAGAGTTTGGCACACCTAAGCATTTCTATCAGACTTGCCAGTACAGGGTACTGGGGTACTCATCAATGGAGGAAAAACTAAAGTAGAAAGTGCTGAAAGCCAGAGAAACCCAGAGTGGGGCTTGCTCTTTGGGAATTACCCATGGAGCTCTCTTAATCCTCCACTATTCATTTCCTGCATTTTGAGATACTTTTTTTTTTCAACTAAAAGTACTCAAATCCAGCATCACTTTAGACAAATCCACTGTGACCGTATAGTATACATAGTTTTATCCACGTTGTGGATATAACTTGGAAGTTTCAAGGCCCTCTGGCAGAAGTGCTGTGTCATCCCCATTTTACCACATCTGATGGACTAAAATGACTCATCTGGTAAAAAGTATTCTAAATACATATCATAGTACACAACTTTACATCCATTACAATATAATAATTCGCCTTTCTTCATTGCAAACTGAACTCCCTCTTGGAATATTAGTAAAAGCATGGATGAGAATCTTACCAAAGTGAAAGGACAAAGAGCAGCAGGCATTTCCTGAAGTTGAGAAAGAAATAAAGACTTCTGTGTTAAACTGTGTAATTCCTTTTATATTGTATCATATCACACAACAGGAGTCTAACAAATAAAGCAACCTACAAGCTACACTTTATATTATACTTGACTTTATCAAGTATGGTTGAGTTGAGTTGAGAACAACACAAGGTGGTTACACATTCAAATCATTGACCTACTTTGACATGTTACATTAACCAAGTCATAACATTGTAATGTTTAGAGGAGCTACAGCAGTGTATTAAAAAAATGGCTAATCCACGATTCAACCCAAGGTGCCTCATCTGTACTGTAATCAAATTAGCCTGACACACATCAATTACTGGTGTCAAATTACCGCATGTGCCACAGTCTGGCCTATCACAGTCGGGAGCCTGGCATCCCCACACGGCCACCAGTGTCACACTCAGGAGAAAGATTGCCTTCTTCATGTTGGCGCTCCACACACTACAAAATGTCGAGAAGGCTGTGATCTCTGCCCATCACATGAACACAACGTGAGCACTTTAACCGGTCACGCCTCTCGATGTTGTTGTTTACTGAGCAAGAGGTCAATGTCCGAGGTGCCACCAAAACAGCAACCAACTGCGCCAGATTTTCGTTTTGAGAAAAGCTAGAAAATGCAAACGCCGTATATCTCAAGGGCAAAAATATTTCTAATCCTACTATCATGCCTAGTATTTCGATTACACACTTCCAAAAGTTCCCGCGGTTGTGAAACGTCCGCAGGTGAAAAATGACCTAGTTTTATTGATGAGGAATATTTCATTCTTCGGTGAGGTAGCAATATGATATATGATATATCTTTAACGCGTTTTATCATAAGCTTGCATAATTGTAACATTGAAATTTCATTTATTATAAAGTTTTAACCTTTACATATGTATATAACTGTCAGAATATAATGTGAAGTCCTTACTTAGGCGGAAATTTTTTACAGATCTCCCTAAAATTTCTAATTATAGACTATTCCTACCCAGAGTACCGTGCGTCAAGGTCACGTGGTTCTATGTTTTTCCAAAGATGGTGGAAAGGACAGGCGGGCTTCGGCCTCCGTTCCTGTTTATTCTCCTTTTCTGCGTGCAAACTGTGGTGCTCGCACAGCCCGAGGTGATCGGCCTGGCCCCCGTCGACCACACGGCCACCACGGTCGACGGCAGGGCCCGGGTGGTAGGGGAAGTGTCCACGAAGCTCCGAGTGTTCGGCTCCAACCTGACGCGATCAACTTGGCTGTCCTTCGCCAAGAGACCCGACGTGAAGGGAGCACCGTGCAACGACTGGCGAAAATCGGAACCCTTCCCTCTCCTCACCGAGGAGTTCTCTGACACCGTGGCCCTTGTCAGCGTCACGGTCAAGTTACTCGAGCAAGGTGAGGTGTATTTCTTATGCGTCAAGGCTGAAGACGATCCTCTCGAGCCGTGGTTCTACCAGGGGAACTCCACGTCCCTCCAGCTCACAACAGAAGCAGAGGAAGTTGAGTCCACCCTCCTACCTCTGTGGCTTCAGGTAATCTTCATCATCATCCTCCTGTCCTTGTCCGGCCTGTTCAGCGGCCTGAACCTCGGCCTGATGGCCCTGGACCCCACAGAGTTAAAGATCGTGCAAAATGTCGGGAACGAAAAAGAGCGGGAATATGCGCGGAAGATAGCCCCTTTGAGAGTTCATGGCAACTTGTTACTGTGCACTCTGCTCCTGGGTAACGTGTTGGTGAACAACACCTTGACTATTTTGCTTGATGACCTCTCATCTGGGCTTATAGCTGTGATCGGTGCGACGGCGGGGATTGTCATTTTCGGTGAGATCGTGCCTCAGTCGGTGTGCTCTCGCCATGGTCTCGCCGTTGGTGCAAGAACTATATGGATCACAAAGTTCTTCATGTTTCTGACATTACCTGTGGCATATCCCATCAGTAAGGTTCTGGACTGGGTGCTCGGGCAGGAGATCGGTACGGTCTACAGCCGAGAAAAACTCCTCGAGCTCATGAAGATGCAACATCAGTTCCAAGAGATCGAGAAACACGAGATCAACATCATTTCGGGCGCGCTTGAACTGCGACAGAAAACCGTGACGGACATCATGACTCCGTCAGAACAGTGCTTCATGCTGGACATTGAGGCCATCCTGGACTTCGACACGATGTCTGAGATCATGAAGCAGGGCTTTACGCGTATCCCGGTGTACGAGGGAGAGCGTGACAACATTACCGCCCTGCTGTTTGTGAAAGACCTGGCCTTCGTGGACCCCGACGACTGCACGCCCCTCAAGACCATCATCAAATTCTACAACCACCAACTAACGTGGACGTTTGCAGACACCACGCTAGATGTCATGTTGGAAGAATTTAGGAAAGGTAATAATAACACTAATATCTCTACCATTCACATGCACTTCGCTTCATAATGAACTGAAGTGTCCTATACTGTTATAGGTCATTTTATGAGTATCATTCTCTTGTTGTGGTTTTCTAAAAGTTGCATGCTACGGAATGCAGGGTACGGTATATCAGGATAGAGACCCCAATCTAGTAGAAACAGGCAGAGGATGAGGTCTATTGAAATTTACTACTACATGTAATACTAACTTGACACAGCCCAACAAATCCTAAAAGTTAATTATTCAAATTTCAGTCACATTACTGGTAGCTACTGATACCAATTATATGGTCTACTAAAGTATGTTTGCCATAAAACCTAAGTATCTATTAATGCTGGATGTGTATGATACTGAACATGAATCACAGATTTTACCAGCAGAGACTCTGATCGGGATCTGTACTGCTGTACCGGTAGAATCACTTAATGTGTGTGTGTCTGTATGTCTATCGGTAGATATATTAAGATTGATACATACATACATACGCACACACATGCATATACAGTATGTAAAGGTACATATGTATGTTTCGGGCTGGAATACTTTTTTAGATGCATGCCACCCTGTATAATTTCTAGCCAGGCAGTATGATTATGTACTCCCTGACCTTCTCATGTATGGGCTTGATCACATCATCCACACGGAGGTTTGTCTGACCTTAATGCAGGGATGATGACAATGGTTAATCTACTTCCCTTTTTGCTGGAGACCTTAATCATAGAGATGGAACAGCAGATGAATGCAGGGCTGGAAATTCATTTTTGGGAGGATTCAGGTGTGCCTAACCTAAAAATTCAGGTGCACAACATAATTAGGTAGAAGATTTACTTGTGCACAAATAAAATAGTAGCACAGTTGAATAAAATACATGTACAGGACTCAGGCAACTGGACTTAGTGGATACATTTTATTTACCTTAAATAAAAATTAGCAGCTGCTGTAATCAGCTGGCTGAAATGTTAGATATCAAGAACTCAGGATTTAATCCAGAGTTGGAGTGACAAGATAAAATGTATGATGATGACAGGATTCAATAATGCCAATCATAATTATTTGGCATGTATGTTGGAATGGAGCCAGTATATAAAGTATGATTATGTTGGTGAAGGTTAGACATCCAGGTAATAAGATTCACCAAAAAACAGTTACTCAAGCAACTGGATATGATTTTGGAAACAATCAGACATTTCAGGTAGCATCCAATACCTTTTTTCAGTGTTTTTTGGCGTATAAAGTATGGTTATGTAGTTGTATGCCATATTGTTGCGATAAATCACATTAGATATACCCCGGTAGTAAGTATGTCATCCAGATGTTTCTGGACTAGTTGATTGGCAGGCCAAGGGTTTGGAGGGTGATATATATGTCTGACATGCCAGTGGAATGGACCTGGATAATAAAGTATTTGGTCTGTCAGCGAATACATCTGTAATCCTTGATATTCAGTTGCCCATGAAAATTCACACCAAGGGGCACACATTAACCATCTGGATATACATTTGAATCTGGAAACTTTTATGATCATTTTATTTTGCAGTGGGGGGGGGAGGTTTTTACAGTGTACTGTGTCATAAATTTGGAGTGGAAACAGTTCTGTAGTACAGAAGTCACAGTGCCATGAATTTGTGGTGGAGTGGTCGCCACAAAACCATACCACCTTGAAAGTTTCATGAGTCATCATGACTTACAGTTCATTTAGACTTGTAAATGGACGACAAGGAGGGGGAAATATTTCTTTTCCCTTCAGTGGAAGTTTTTGGTGAGCCAGAATGCAAATCTAGTGGCCTAGTTCACAGAAGCACAAATCTAGGACAGTTGCAAATGTATTGTCAGTACAACATGATTGACTAGTGTCAGACTCAAATGAATTTTCAAAGTTGACATGGCTACGCAGGGGTTTGAACATTAATGAATTGATGAATGTTATTCCAGATACACTTTCGCATTACAGGGCTTGAAATACCCACCTACAGACTGTACTTTTGCAGGAACTTCTCCAGATTGTGTATTCCATGTTAGCACTGTCAATGATAAATCAAAAACCAACTCTCAGTGAAACAGATTTCTGACAAGTTAACTGTTTCCCCTGCTTTCAGTTGCCTGTGTAGTAGCCGACCAATGATGATGATGATAATGATGATGATTATTAAATCAAAGTAAAGCCTGTCTTGTGGTAGGGTAGATGAGATGGTTTGGATGTTTGCAAAATGTTTTACACAAAAGACAAGTAGATTTTCTGACAAGTCACCACATCGCTGGTAACAAATAAGTATTTTGAGCCCTGCATTGCCAACTGTCCTTGAAGCAACACTGAGCACACAGTGCAATAGCAATGGGTGACTGGATTAATTTATGACCAAACCTGTCAGCTAATCCTCCTCTTATTACAGATGTCATGCTTTAATTAGAGCCTTTATCCCATTGGGAATGTGTACATCTTGGACATCTATAGTCTGTGTACCAACTCAGTTATCAGTGACAGGGAAATTAAAATCTGAGGCTTGATTTGACAAGCCATCATTATTTCACCTCTTCCTCTGGGACCACTGTAGCTACAAGATGGATGTAAACTGTTTAAATCTGTGGTACTGCATGATGTGTCTTTATTAGTCTTGTAATGTGTACGTCCCTCAGTGCCACCGTGTTCTCGAAGCAGGTGACAGAGATGCTGTCTGCCCTTCCTCTAACAACCCCAATGGGGTATTACGGGTGTGGGGTGAGGGGTTGCATGGTTCTTGTAATTGTAATTTGTTTGATCATCTTGTTTGTAATTTTCTAGTAAAATCCATCCATAGCATTACTAGTATGAATAAAGTATCAGAAGAAGACTTCTCCATATCAGGCCTAGTGTCTGACGAAGCTTGCTGTAATGACAGATGAGACATGTAAGAGGACACGGCAGCGCTTGCCTAACAGGTGTGTTTGACGTCAACCCTATTGATCCAAGGAGAAGGTGCCAAAAGCAGTTCTTCGGCACATAAAGAGAAAATGGCCTTTTTATTAACCAGTGTCTGGCAATGTCAATAAGAACTTCTTGGTAGAATTGGGTAGAAGGAAACCAGCCTGTCTATAGCAGCAGGCACTGAATGTGGAAATTATTATTTTTGCCTCAATACCCTTTTTAGCTGATAACAGGTGCATTTGACACCTCATGATGGTAGAATATAAGATCTCGCAAAGAAATATCTGAAAATTATTGTGAGCTTATATTCTGTGAGCCAGTGCATTATCCACACTTCCATTTTGTCTCCTTTCACATCCAAAATTACTGTGTATTCAACTTGACTGCATAGATGCTGGGTTCAGTATAAAGCCTTTGATGAGTGGGTAGTTTGTACCTAAGTGACCTCTTCTAGAGTGTTACATGATTACAGTATTACCACTGGGCATAAGAGTGCCAATTCATTTTCCTTCAAGTGGGTTTAGCTAAACACTTTGACTTGTATTGGTTACCGTAAATTTTTAAGTTATTGCTAATAATGATTAGGGTTAACTTAAAACTAAATGTTCACACAAAAATACTTCCAAAATTTAATATTTTTCAATGTACTAAATTCAGAACTGGCTGTCCTTATTGGAGAATAAAATATTGATGATTGAGGTACGTTTTAGAAACCAATACATTGAAATTGTAAATGTAGCATTTCAAAGTATATATATATATATGTGCTGTTATAAATTGAATACAAGCACCAGATAGACACACACATACATGTACATACAGACAAACACACAGACAAGCCATATACAAATACTTAGAGAAGTAAGAATTATGTAATACATGCCTGTTGATTGAATCCCTGTTATTCCAACTGAAACATTCTTAATACATGTAGATAAAAACAGCCTTACAAGCCCCAAACAATACTTCAGTCCCTTATAGTTATACATGTACATTTGTAATACTGTTAATTAAAGGATGTAATGAATAACACATATCTGTGGATTGAATTCTTGTGTTGTTTTTTTTTTAGGTCACTCACACATGGCGTTTGTTCAGCGAGTAAACAGTGAGGGAGAAGGGGACCCGTTCTACGAGATGATCGGTGTGGTCACGCTGGAGGACGTTATCGAAGAGATCATCAAGGCCGAGATTGTGGATGAAACCGACATCTACAGTGAGTACATTTTTCCACCTTAACAGGGATAGAAGAAGATCTATAACTGGAAGTGGGTCAGGACAAGTCCTTAATGAAATACCCTTCTATAGGAACCAGTCAAAACTAGCATAACAATGTCCTTAACTGTGAAAGAATAAACACAATCATTACAGTCAAGTATAGGGCCTTGCACCTGTAGGACTTCCCTGTCAAATGTACTGATTCTGTGCATTATGGTATCCATAAACTCATCACCTACAACATACATTTGACTGTTTTAAGACAATGGCCAGCAGTCGGTTCTGGTTTGAACATACTTATGATAATTAAGGAAAGGTTTCCTTTTAATCATCCAGAATTTGTTTGAAAAACCCTCCATTCCACACTAGGAAAAGGTAAAGAGATATTTCGTTAAACACTGTATTTACATGGTTCCTTCTTTTTATCTGCATATGTAAACATGATCATTATTTCTAATTTATTTCATAAAACACACCACTAGTACTTGGGGAACCTAGGAATAGTAGGATGTTTTTTAATCGGCCAAACAAAAAAGAGAGACTTTAAGGTGACAATGATCTATCACCCCTATTCTTCCTAAGTACCTACATTCCAAAATATCAAGAAAAATTATAAATCACTCACTGGAAAATGGAAAATGCAAAAATTTATTATAGGCAAGATAGAAAGGAAATGGAAATATAGACAGCAGATAGATATCACTCTGTAATATTACATTCAATACTACTTTTGCACATCAATCATTTACCAATGCCTGATGGTTTGACGTGTGTCCTTGAAGTGTTCTTGACCTGACAGAGTTATAGATATAGATACAAGACAACTGTATTGTTGTGGTAATAGTTTCATCCATTGTTCAGTGGCTGCACAATATTGTAATTCCTTTGAAGGTATGTATGGTTTTCTACTCTGATGGATTGGCTGTACCCTCATGCATTATTTAACTGAAGTTGGCGTTCTGAGTGGGGTTGTTCATCTGTAAACACTACTGAATAATCATCATCATTCTTCTGCACTGGTGGCATTGTTATGATGCTGCCCTGCTGAATTAGTGTTGTTATTGATATTACCATACATGTGCATGATTAAGCCAAGTGACTTTCAGTGCAGAATATTGATGTGTATTTTAAATCAGTCAAATATGCAAAAGACAAATGATAACTTACTATTATTATCATGTATATCTTAATTTGGAAGCTACTCAAGGTTTGTATTTCAGAATATTACATGAAGTTCTTGTAAAGTACATGTATATTTTGTACTGACTCTTCGTATGTACACATCATAACACCCTTGAGAAGCTGAAGCCTTTCTAAGTAATGACTGGGAGTATTTGTGTGTATCAGTATCATATTAGTAGGTTATGAAGAGGAGTTTGTGATTTGTGTTTAGCAATTCTTTCCACCATGGATGAGTTACTTGTTGATGAGAGATCAGCTTGGGTCAGGTGTTAGAAGCAGTCAAATTTGCTCTGAGCCAGCATACAGATATTTTGTTTGTGTGCTTTCTTGTGTTTTGTTAATGACAATGTTGTCATTGGGAAAATGTACATCATGGGTATGCACAACATGTATGAATTAACTGTCAGGTTTTAGATAGAAAATACCCATGCATGTACATGTAAGGTGTGATGAATTGGGAACAACAGTACCACTATATTGATTAATCAATCTCAAGTGAGATCCATATTAATGTTGCTAACTTGTGTGTTTATTTCTTGCTTTTTGATACTAATATATTTATTAAGTAGATTGGAATTCAACACACGGAAGAGATTTATTCTTTGAAAATTTTCCAGCACAATTCCATATGGTAAAACATCAAGTTTAAAGTCATTATGCCATTGCTATTAGTATCTAGTTGCTATTGGATATAATTTAGTGGAAATTTGTTGGACAACAACAGTCATTTAAACAAAATTCATGTATCAATCATGATGTGCTACAAGTTAATATATTTTTAAAGATATGTGTATTGAATGTAAACAGGTAAATATCCCAGTGCAAAAATTGATGAAAATTAAGAATTTTGGATTTTTTTCTTTTACTACCCAGTAAACCTTATATCTGAAAAAAAGAACTCCTCATACCTTGATAACAAAATTTTGTATTATCTATAACTAACTAATTTTGTGTTATCTGTAACTAACTGTTGACTTTGTTTATGTTGTTCCAGTTGATAACAAGTTCCAGAACAAAGTTCCGAACCGCCGCGCGCTTCAAGACTTTTCAGCCTTCCGCCCTGCTGACGAGAAGCCCAAGATCTCCCCTCAGCTCATGCTGGCATCGTACCAGTACATGGCAACCTGTAAGTCAATTGTACCTCAGGTCTAGAAATACTGGGTGCACCCAAAATTGGAGCTGTGCACCCAATTTTTTTATGCACCCAAATATTTTTGGAGGTATTTTTTTTTACATATTAAATGTATAGTGGTATACACGATATTCTTGGCATCTAGGGGTAAGAAAAATGTACCGGTAGTACATGTACTTGTTTAAGATTTTGAAGTTAGCTCCCATTTTAGATTCAAGCTCTGAAGAGGAGCAGTAAGATCTGTAATGAAATATAGTACACCCAAAAAATTTTCTGTGCACCTAATTTTTGAGTTTGGGTGCACCAGTGCACCTATTCCCAAAAATGAATTTCGAGCCCTGTACCTACAACAAGCAAACAAGCATCAGAATTCTTTCATAACAGTACATAACAACTTATACATGTAAGTCAACCTAGAATCTCATTCATGAGGAGGGATCAGTAAATGAACGTTCCATTGGAACACATTGTGAGGCCATGAAAAACAGTCACTTCAAAACACATTTACAGGTGTCTGTAACCTCTAGTCTTTACCCCCACTGCAAAACTGGATATGTCAGGTTTAAATTGGTTTGGTTTGGGTACAAAAAATGGGAGGTCAGCTTGGGCAACAGCCAAAATATTGAACTGATACCGCCTGTCCCAGGGGGTCAGTACAGACATTTGAGAATCTTACAAATTTATACTCAACAGTTCTTACACATGAATATGACTGTCTTGGTTTGGAGCATGCCTTGGTGTATGAAATATAATATTGTATTGATTTAATTTGCTTATCATGGAGGTTCCCAAACATCTGGCAATCGGCTCTGGTATCGCTCATGGGAGAATAAAGGTCAAAATCAATGAAACAGTCTGCCAGGGTCCATGATATACAATCATGAAATACAATAATGGAAAAGATCAGACCTCTTGGTATGTGTAGCTGTGTGTAGTTCAGGCCAACACAGCAAAGAAAAATCCACTTGGACCTATAGCTTCTTATATAAGCCAAGTACATGGACTAGTGCAGGTTTGGTGGAGGAAGACTGCACTGACCTGGTATTAGCCATTACCCACCCAGATTATGTTCCTATTTTGAGTCGTTTAAGAATGATGATCTTCCTTAGCCTGGGTGCCATTGACAGTAGGGAGCTGGTGGTAACTATGGAGGTTGGCAGGCTAGGTCTTCCTGGATCCATTTGTGTCACTGGCCTACTTATAGGCTTCATTCTTAGGAACTGCAATCATCTCTGCTATGTAATTTCACAAATTACAGTACTTATAAATCATGCTATTTGTCCATGTTGGTAGCTAAGACAAAAAGAATTTGTCAGGAGATATAATCCCATCTCATATTTTACAGTCTCTTCCTTTCCTTTGCCATTAATTTCACAATGTCAATGAAGAGAGTGCATATTGGGTTTGGAAATATCAGTATCAGTATCCAATATGGGAAATGGTTACCTTGGCAGAAATCCAGTTCTATTTGAAGGTCATTTACATACATGTAGAGGTTAGAACTGCATAAATGAGGCAACTACATTGTAGATTACAGCAGATGTAAAAGCCATGCTGGGAACCCTCGCTGAGTTAATTGTACTGCTTGATTGACCTGTTGTAATGATAATATTAGAGGCATGATATCAGAATTGACTTGGAAGCAGGCTTGATCAGTATTCCGAGACATATCCCTGTTATGAATGGATACACACAGATATTATTTTGCAGTAATCATCAATTTAGTATAATACATGTAGTTAGGCTTGAATTATGCTGGTTGATTTGCCGCAAGTGATCAAGATTGAATTGGAGAACAGTGCGGTATAAGCTAAGGCAGACACTAGGAAACATTCAGGATCCATAATGCAGTTGTGATCCATAATGCAGTATTGATGATTGGAGGAAGCTTGATCAGTTACAAATGTAGAAGCAGTCACACTTCAACCCCCCAGTAGCAGTGGTTGGGTTTATTTTTTTTTACTTTTTTTGGTTCTCTGACATTTTAGAGAAAATTTTTTAATCTCTTTGCCGAGCTGGTAGTTCTTACTTAGTAGTTCTTACATCCACCAGTCATCAGTCATTATCATGCATTGTCACATCATTTTTCTTCTGTCTCGGAGTGACATCCAATGTGTACATTATTGTTCCCCACAGCTATAGACTTGTTCAAGCCGGAGCTGATCTCAGAAACCGTCCTGCGGCGGATGCTCCAGCAGGATGTCGTGGTGGACCTCAAGGTCAAGGTTGGTGGTTTTCTTTTGTTTTGCATAACTGCCTTTAGCTGTAACACACCCGTGTTATATAGTAAGTACAGGCTGCGTAAGAACGGAATGTAAAGTTTGACCCACTCAATCAGGACAGACCCCTGCTCTTCTTTATAAGTGTGGTGGGATCTTCAATGTGCTTGAGGTGTGGCTTTTCTCAAACACAAGTCCTCCAGCTTTACATCCCATCCAAGGGACATTCCTAACTGAAGATACATGAAGGTACCTGAGTCAAGTAAGGAAATAGGTTTAAAGTGCCTTTCCCAATGCCACAGTTATATGTACATTGGGGCTGTTAGGCATTTGAACCCGGAACCTTTAGATTCTAAGTCAACAGTCCTAACCACAGGATCACGTTGTCACCATGCAGGTGGAGCAGAAAGACTCCACGTCAAACAACATCTACACGAACGGCAAGCCGGCCGACTACTTCGTACTGATCCTGCAGGGCCGAGTGGAGGTACGGGCAGGGAAGGAGGGGCTCACGTACGAGACTGGACCCTTCACGCATTTCGGCGAGGCCGCCATTGTCGCTTCTGGTAAGTAACATGACTCGCTGCAACATACAGAATGCAGTTGCATGCATGTTTATTAAGATACAGTAAATTAATTTACTTGTGTTGTGTTTTTATTCCACAGTAAGAGGAAAAAGAAGACTTTTGGGATGTTTTGATTTCACAGTTGATGTGGTGTTGTTACATGTACATTTCTCCCAGACAGTGTGACACTGGGGAAGCCTCTACCAGGAGTTATAGATTCTTAGTTACTTAGAATAAACACACAGTGATGTATTATAGAATTGCATTCAACATCAGTCTCAGAACTAGCCTGGAATCCATCCTCTTCTCCTTTGTTTGCTGTACCAGAATACCAGATCTTTGGACAGTGAATTGTTTGCTTAACTATAAGCCAGAAGTTTGATTGCCAAGGTTCTCAGTAATGGTGTGGTAACAGGAAATTTGAACCAGGACTGGTATTTGGAAGCTTGACCACTGGTATACAGCGTCTTAGAAATAGTCAATTCCTTAGCTCCGTTCAAGAGAATTTTAAATGTTGATAAATATGGAATTTAAAACAGGTATATAATACAGTAGTAACCTCCTTTTTTTCCTTCCTAATTCCTGCTTACCCTATTCAGAGCATACAGGTATGTTACATGTGATTGATGTTGGTAAATATGTTTGACTGTAATCAGCCTTTTGTGTTTTTGATCTTTTTTTGATCTTTAAAAGTCTTAGTAGAATATTTCAAAATGAAAACTCTAAGTGAAAACTTAACGTTCACTTGTTTTACACCAGACTTTATTCATGCCTTGATGATCATACCGGTATTATTTCCTGAGCTATCGATAAACGTTTTACAGATGCTTATAATGTGGGATGTAATATGATGAATAGAAAAAAAACCTACACTGTGAATGAACCTTACAGTAGTTACTTGGGGTAGATGATTTCTGAATAATTTCTGATGTTTTGTACCATGTCCCTTTCACGTTTATGTTGTCCTGGAAATTTAATCAGATGTCTCATGTAACAAAAATTTTTGCTCCTTTTTTGCATGACAAAAAGTACATGTACAAACATCATTTTTCATGAAACTGTTCACCATTGGTCAGGAGTATTTGTAACTCTTGTGTTGTGCTTGAGCCCTTGTTACAACTTATATCAAATAGTATGAAGAGCATATGGTATACATTGTACGTAGTTGTATTTTTGAAGGCTAGCAGTCATTGTGTCCATGTGTGCCCCTGTATTGCGCCATGCTGCCAGGCAACACGCCCAGCCCAGAAACACCCGCAGACCGAAGCATAGCTAGTTGTCCCGCCGGTATCAATAAGTGTTTGTTTCAACAACACAGCACAGGTACAGTGGCCCATATACACATAGACTTCCTGATGAACCTTCCCCATCTTTTTCACTTTTTCCATAAATAGTTTATCAGGTTGGTACATCACTTCAACATAGTTTTCTGAGCTACATGAACCCTTATATTTTTCTGAGAGGCTGACAAAAATATATGGTTGCGTAGCTTCGAAAAGTGTGTTTTTTCACTTTTTGATTTTTGGGGTAGGCAGTCTGTTTGAACCTCCTTGATGTGAGGGTAGTGTACTACTCATACCATGAAGGAAGAAAATGTATAACTTGTTTTTCTTTTGAGAGAAGCTGCATGACATTGTGTATTTGCTGATGTACATGACCCACTAAAAGCTGTAATGATTACATGTCCATCATTCTTCATGATAACAGGAGTGTCACCAGTCTTTGTGGTTGGAAGAGACTTAATCTGCATCAGATATGAACATGGTAACATGTACATGTGACTGCACTTTTTCCTGTTCAGCTGTTACTGTGTTGTTCAGCAGGCTCCTGTGCATCTGTTCAGCATGACCTAATCCAGGTTGTAACTGCTCTGACACTGCTCTTTGTTTTGACCCACAAATGCCCTGCCTTCTGTAGAGCGGGAAACCTCACCTAAAAGTGCTGCATGTGTCCATAAACAACAACAACAACAATCTGCACCTTCCACCACCACTAACAACAACAAACCCTCTCCTGGCTCTGTCTCTGGACAGTCTAACACCACTCCGCAGCACCAAGGTACAGACTCTCTCTCTGCGCAGGTGGACATACGTGTCGTATAGTGCCGTGCAGTGGTTCATCAGCTCCATTCCACTCAACATTTCACTCTTCTGTCTGTTATGTGCATACTTTTATTTAATTTTTTCATTCAATCAAGGCTAGACTCCAAGTAGTCTTCAGACTCCTTCTAAATTATTGGTGAAACCTGGCAGATGCCATCTGGAATGTATGACTCTTCAGAGAATTTATCCAGTTGCTTGATTTTTTTGTATTACAGTGTACACGTACATGCACATGCTCTACCTGGATGTCTAACCTTTATCAAAGTGTTCCGTAAATACTTTTTGTTCCTTTTACTTCTGGGTTTTGAGACATCATCCTCATCATCATATCAATATGTTGACATCTGTGAGTACACGTATGAATACTATGAGTACATGTATGATGACATGATAAATAGAGGCTTCAACTGTTGAGTGACTGCTGAGCAACCAAAGATTTGACAGCTTGCTGTACAAATTTCATGGATAAAAAAACTAATTCTTTCATGTATCCGTTTTTTTACATCATATTCTAATTGTGAAAGCAAGGGTTACTCAGCATTCACTATCTAGTTGAAGTGGACCTTAGGATTTGGAAACATTTCTGTGGTTATCTACAGGGTTGATGGTCCTGTAATTGTGTACTCTAATCAAGCTGGAGTTATCAGTGCAGAATTATTGTCAAGGAACATTATCCTATCCTTTCTAACTTTTTTATTCCAAACAGCTTTTGCGCCCACCTTTATTATAAAGTTTGATTACAGGAAACTATGTCAAGGGCACATTGGAATGATGTTTATCTTTTTCCTTTTAAGTTACACTAATGACGAGTCAAGCCAACTACTGCATTTACAAGCAGTAATACATGTGGTCAACTTTGGACCAGAGATCTCACATATAAACCTCCACATCACTATGACTTCAGCTCATATTAATCCTCATGTTAATTCTAGTTACGTTTCTAACATTGATACCCGATTTTGCACTGCATGTTGCCCGTCAGACTCCTGCATGTTCTAACTGCACGTTTCTCCCCACTCTGCATGCTTAAGGCCGACGAGCCTCCGCTCTCTCAACGTTGTCGGCCGCTTCTACCTCCAGCTTTGCCTTCCCCATCCCACTTCCAAAACGTAAATATGTAGAAACTTTTTTCCACTGTAGGCACCAGATTTCCTCTGCTTGTGTCACATGTACCTTTTCAGTTAGCTTGGATTGTGTTGGTAGAAATCTTAAGTTTAACTAATTTTGATAACTTTCCATAAAGAGTTACATGTACATCAGTTTGGTGACATGTAGGTACACAACTGCTGCTCCGCTGCTCTTATCTGGGCTTGACTTGACTATGACGGGCTATGACGTGCTTTTTTTCTCCATGTTGTATCGTGATTGTCACAATATGGCAAGGAGAAAGCACATTGCCCTGATGAAGACAGTGGAGCAGCTGCCAAAATGTTGGTAGAGAAAAAATAAGGTTGTCTTCCAAAGAAAACTTTGTTGAACTTACAAACATTTTTGAACTCATGGCACCAGGTCGTTCTGTACTGTGGGAATTAAGTGAGATATCTAAACTTTCGACTGAATGTATTAGTGTGTATGACAAATAAAGATAAAAAGTTCAGAAACTTATAAAAAGTAAACTTTGATATATCTATGTTGTTACGTTATTGATTGTACTGTATTGATTCATTAGAAGCGTGTTCATCAAGTTTGATTTTTATTTTCAGCTATACTTCCATTAGTATACACCCTGCAAGAGTTACTGCACAGTGTGTCAGTGACATTTACCAGTTTTGTCCGATTTTCTTTCTAATATTATTCTTTCAGGTGACTTTTTACATCCTTTGTCATTTATTTATGAAACATGTACAATTAGCAAGTTTGTAGTTAATCTGTTTTTCCTTTGCTTAAAAGTTCATCTGTGTTAATAGAAATCATTCTGAAGCAAAGCTGAACTGTAATTCAAACACACAAAAACTTGCCCAACTTTTGTCAAGGACTGAACTATGAACTTTCTGCAATTTCTATAATCCACTCATCATCAAGTCATCATTGTCTGAATTACATAATGTTATAGAAGACGTGGTGAATTGTTCATTCCTTGATAAAGACTAGAATTGGATACTGGCAGTAAAACCTTGTGTTTAAAATTACAGTTTAGCCTTCCTTCAGAATTGTGTCTTCCTTTTCTCTTGTTTCCCTCCTGACCCAGCTGTTGTGCTGTGTTCCCTGTAGTACACCGTACCCCTGTCAGCCCTGTGCCTTCTGTCTGGTCAACCTTTCCTGCTCTGGGCCAACCTCCTGCCCACACCAGCAAGTCTCTTTTATAACATATCTTCTTTCATTTATCATAAAATATCTTCTGCTTTAGCTACTTTCTTTAATGTTTTAGTTCCTTTCTGTTGTTTAACCTTAAACAATACATTTGTACATTTATCTTTGTCAATGACTTTGCACTGGTGGACTTGAATATAAAACATTATTCTCTTACTCTTGTGCAATTGGGCTCAGACAATACTCAAAGCGAATTTTTCTAGTTATTTCTGTACACAGTAAGCTTCTTAGTCATCCCCACATTATTACAAAACAATATAGACAGTCAAAATGTTATATGATTGTATAATATGGACATGTGCCCAACATGTAGAAAGCTGCCAGTTTGTTTTCATCAAGCACTATTGGTACTAAGATAATGGGGCCATAATTCAGTTTCTTTTTGCATTGTTTAAAGTGATTATGCTTACATTGTATGTGCTAAATTGGTTTGTAATATTGTAAATGTGCTGCTAAAGTTTTATATTAGAAAAGCACCTTTAAGAGTATGCAGTTAAGTGTAATGTTACACACAAGGGTGTCCTGGGGGAAGGCAACATGACTGAGTTTTGATCCAAATCTTCTCACTTCTTACCACTTGCACTTTGCATATCTTGTTTTGTGCCCAACCAAAAGTGCAATGTTCATACCACACTGCACACCTTTACATGCAAGCCTGACAACTAGTATGTAATGCCTGTCAAAGATTTTGTTTTTCATCTAGGAAATTAGTACAGTTGATGTGTGGCCTCTGTAGCTGTTAATGTACTTGTACATGTGTAGGAACAGCCAAACAAACCTGAATGTGGAAGCATTAGTGATTGTCTGTTGCTATCCTGTCTCCTCTGTTCTCTTGCAAGCAGTCGTGGAAGCTGCACGCACGCACGACAGACGACAGAGTATAGGTGCTTGTTGTGCCAACAAGGGAGGCGGGCAGACAGCAGGTAGAAGCAATGACATGTTGTGTTCTGTGCTGTGAACTTGTGCTGTGATACATGTATGTGGTGTAATGTGTGCTGTAATGTGTACTGTCACATGTGCTATTGTCTGTGTTTTTTCTCATGTGCTGTCACGTTTTTCAAAGTCAAACATCCTGCTATGTGCAGTGTCATCTCTAATTTGAGGGGTAGGAATACCCAAGCATGAGAAGTTTTCATGTGCCCTCCTCGATTACCAAATTATCTTCACAATTACTAGTAGCAGTCGTGGTCCAAAGGTGTGTGGTATGCTGTGGTTTGTATCAGATTTTACATACCGTATGTCACTTTTCCTCTTTCGGTATTGACTGTCACTACTTCCTTCATTTTAGACTGTATTTCCTACACTCTTCTTCCAAAGTTCATAACTAATGACCAGTATTAATGTTGTACATGTAGTAATCTATGTTTCAAAATACACATATTATGCTAACCAGAAACTTAGTAGCTCGTATACCAGTAGTCTATCAAGTATGTTTGGCAGAATTGGCAGTCACAGTGATGTCAGAGTGCAGAGTGCTAGACTACTTTTTTTTGCTCCTTGATCTTGAATGAACTGCTACTGATGTTAACATTCTTCAGAAATTGAACTTGAATGTTCAACTTGAATGTTGTTCTTCCAGAAGAAGAACCTCTCCTGAAGCAAGCTCTGACACCAACTCTGGTGTCTAAGTTTGGCTTTGCCAGTAAGAATGGTCCGTTATTTCATATTTTGGATTCTGACATTCTTGTCTTCCTTCCGAGTGTTACACCTTCCTTTTGTGTATGTGAGTGTGTCTTCTTCCTTGTTTGTGGTTAGTGTTGCTGTCGCATGCCTTTACTCTTCTGTGTTATTTGTGGCTATATTACTTTATGTCCAATATTGGTTAGTGATTTAAGTATCTGCTTAGAGATTGATCACCTTTCTGTCTTTCTACAATCATGGACATGCATCAATAAAAACATTGCTGCTTTGTATTAAATATTGTTTGTGAATCAGAAGTAAGTTCAAAGTAGAAAAATGTACTCAGTGTCAATTATGAAAAGAATAATATTCAACTGAATGGCTAATGTTATAGTGGACAAAGTGAATACAATGCTTTGGGAACAATTTACAGGTAGCCAGTACACAACAACTCTGCTTGCAGACAGTTACAGATGTATTGACAACATAGACTGACACATGCCAAGTTTCAGTATCACCAACCCTTACCATGTGATTTGCTCTGATCATCTTTGGTCAAATTTTCAGGGAAACAAGAAGACAATCCAAGGAGGGCATTTAGTTTTGCAAGGAAGACTGGTTCTTACTTTCTTTCTCTTCCTTCATGCTTGCTGAAACTGCTTGTGTGCAGGCTCTGTGTTCCTTTGATGCATGTATACTGGACTGTATTAACCAGAGAATTGTACAATGTACCTGGAAAATCAGTGTTACTGTATTAAAGTCAGAGAGTCTTGAATTGAGAATTACAAGTTCAAATGCATGATAGTTTGAAACCGAAACTGATACAGGTGTTTTTCTGAATCATGTATGCAGCATGTGTTTTTTTAATGTTTTGTGGCTTTTTTAGAGAAAAAAATAGAAATATGTGATGAATGAATTTTGAATCAGAGCTGGTTGAAGATACCAGAAATGATGCCACCAATGCAACTGTTGAATTGCTATAAAATTTGGATTTTTAGGCATCTTCAAGATTTCTTCATTAATCTTTTTTGTGATGAGTCATAATGCTACAATATAGTAGCTTTACATTGTAGTTATTGTTTGTCTTTTCTTCTCTGCCACTGCCATGTACTTAACCAACTGTCTCTGTCCTCTTTCAGACAAGGACAAGAAAGCACAGAAAGGCTTGAGGAGTTTGTGCTCTCTCTTTTTTCTGAATCACCACACTTTGAGTACTAACAGTCTTGAACTCTGGTTTCTGCCACTACAAATGTATTAACACAGTCAGCATTTTTCAGCGTATGGAGTGCTGTGTTGTACAAGCATCTCAGATGTTCACATCCAAGTGTGTGCCTGACTTGCATTACACTTAACAGGGCTTGAAATTCATTTTGTAAATACTATAGGTGCACTGATGCACAGAAAACGGTTCAGCACACAACATAAAATACAGTAGAATGTCAGCAAAACCTAAACAAACTTTACAACAAACTATTATTTTTGTGACAAATGTCAAAAATACCTTTTACGTACATAACTACACTTTACAAATAGGTTCACCCACAGTCAAAAATTTAGTACACAGTATTTCAAGCCCTGAAGTGTGCCTGACTTGCATTTTCACTGAATGCAGACAACATACATGTATACATTCAAAACCTGTGATAGTTGAAAAGCGCCCTCTGACTGTTCTCTGTATGCTTGCATGCTGCGTTCAGATGGGACAGAGTGGACGCCATTTCAGTGTGGTGTATTGCCCTAACTGTTCCGCTGCTATTAATAAAGGCCAAACTAACCAAGGTACAGCAAAACCTGCTTGTGTTTCACCTGTTTAATGCAGTTTAAGATTAAGAATATATCTATACCAGCCAGACAGGTGTATATTGCACACGTACATGTACCCTAAGTGTTCAATGTACAATGTCATGTACAAATGTAGTTTGTGGTAAGGCTGCATGTAAGGAGAATGCCTGTATGCCAGTATTTGAGAGGCATTTTGTTCTGCATTACAAACACCAGTTAAGTTTATGTGCTAGAACCGGACATTTTTTGGCAATACCCAGGAGCAGAGGCATTTCATATAGTAACATTGTAAATGTGCCAGACAACACGACTGTTGGGCCCAGTGCACCCGAAAAGTTACAGTTCTATACTTTAGGTGAAAGGGTGTTAAGTCACAGTGTGTAAAATATTGCCTCAAGATAACTATTACTGTACTACTAGCCACTTGAAAAAGTGTCATGCTTCACCTCTACTTGAAGATGACAATAGGAACATACTACTAACATTAACAGTGCCTGAAAGCACCCATTGCATGAAAAAGTTTAAAAAGCCCTTTCTCCAGATGACTACATTTACTATTTGGTTACCTACTTGATTGGCTGCATACTGCACTGCAATTGCCAATGTATAATAATATTGTATAGCATACTTGGAATGTCAGCTTGTTACACATGTAGGTAAATATATAATATCAGCATTGTGTTGAAAAGTGCTTAAAGCTGGGATATCATTTAGAAAGGGGGTAGCAATAAAGTATTCTGTAACTTCCCAAAATAATGGATACAATGTAACTGATATGGCTGAATATCTTCAGAGTACAGATAGGATTTCTTCACCCTGTTGCTATACATGTACATGTATATGAGCTTTGGAATAGCAATTGTTAAAAAAAAGGACCAATCTTGCAGCTACTGTAATGTTCAAAAGTCTGTATCCTCAACAATGTGTTTTTGCCCCTCCCAGGTATAGTGAACCAGCCACAGATCGGGATCTCCAGTAGCCAGAGCCTGGTGTACGTCCCTGACTACTCCGTGCGCGCTGTTACAGATGTCCAGTACATCCGTATCCGCCGTGCTCACTACATGGCCGCTCGCCAGGCCACCCTGCTGGAGCGGCAGCCGCGCACGCCTGCATCCAGCGAGTCCGAAGACATCTTTGGAAAGGAGTGGGCGAAGGCCAACAAGCAGCACGGCAGCCACAAGAGTAGCTCCCACAGCCTGCACAAGGGGAGTAACCCCAGCCTGTCCCCGGAGAACCACGTGTTCCTGACCCCGGGGAGTCACCCCAGCCTGTCGCCGGGCGCCCAGCCCCCCATACTCCCAGCAGCCCTCCAGCGCGGTAGCGGCCGCTCCGACAAGAACGCCATGGCCGAGAATGTTCCTCTCCTGACAAGAGACTCTCCCAACTCCTCGGCTAACGGCTCACGTGTTGACCTGGATGTGGAGAGTGGTCGGACTCCGAACGGGGAAGCCCAGCCTTCCCCTGGTGCTGCCGACTCAGCGGATAGTTCTGTTGACATATCCAAGGAAACGGCTTGCTGACATCAGGAGAGGATTCCAGTTTCAACCCACCCCTCGAACCTGGAGCGCTGTGTTATGATACACACTTTCATGTCAAGTCTAGACTAGATAGTTCTTCCAATGTTTCAAGGATACATAACAAGTTCTATAAGCAAGTAACAACCAAGAAAAGGTTGATGTAGTGTCCAGTTAGTCATAAGATGAATATTCAATACATGCATGCAAAATATACTTTTGAAGATTTGCTTGATACATTGTAGGCAAGGAATTTAGGAAAGTACTTGTCAATTTACACTACCAATAGTGTTATTATCTAGACTGGGTCCCAGGCTCAAGTAGACAACAAATTAGATTGACTTCATTTCACAGTCAGTGTCTCTGGAAATTTCCTGTGGCTTACTATCAGACTCGTGTGAGGTCTCCTTATGGTCGTTCTGGAGGGATGTTGTTCATTTTGTGGTTATGCCTAAACTTGCCAAATCAAAGAGACAACTTGCAGTGTAACCATTGAATGAATGACTCTAGCATGATAAGGGGGGTAATTACAAGGTTACATCAGTGAAGGTTAGACATCCAGGTAGATCATTACACAGTACAAGCTAAACCAATCAACTGGGTAAGTTCTCTGAAGAGTTAGATGACTGAGAATGACCATGAAGACAAGTGTATCCAATATACATGTATAGATAACATGTATAAATATATGTATAGATACATACTCATTTATGTGCAGGTTACAGTTGTCTCCAGTCATTCTCAGTCACTGATGAAATATAGTGGATACAGTTTATCTGGTTGGTTGATTTATTTTGTATTACATATTAATTACATAAGACTCTTCAGTTGGGCGGGGGACGAGGGTGTACAATGTATATTGGTCATATAACAGTGGACACAGGTGAACACTAATGGTTCTTTCTTGATGAAACGAGAGTGATTAGTCAATGTGTGCAATAAAGACATAGGATGAGAATGCAGCAATTGTAAAAGATGATAATAGAGTTATTTAGTTTTGTAAAAAAAAACTTACTGGTACTTGTACATGGTACCTGTAGAAATGTGAAAGGTTGTATGTACAGTGTGCACTTGTCATGCAGTCTCCAGGTAAATTTTGGATGGTACTGTGAATATGAATATTAAATTAACATGGAAATTGTTGAAGAGATCATAGTACATGGATATACATGTATGCATCATTGTTCACATATTCGTTTTTGTTCTGGGAAAACAATTTGGATATGTTTGTAATTTTGAATGTTGTCGTATATATAGATACTGAGTTGTTCTGCCTTGCTGCCAGAATTTTGTAAAGGTTGTTCAATCACAGAAAGACTCTATCAAGTATATCCTCTGCTGCTAAGCAGAGGCTATGTAGTAGACTTCAGTTAAAAATGTGTGGTACATTGTACATGCATGTACAACCAACAGATGGGAGATAGACAAAACCTCTTACATGTACAAATGTATGCCTTTCATTTCTGCACAAGAATATGCTGATATTTAGCCACAAATAAATGGCTTTATACTGTTGTTGCTATGTTTAACACCATGGTTAACTGTAACAAAACCCCATACAGCAGTGGTGCAAGTACAATAATATCTTGGCCACAACTTTTTTTTTATAGTTTAAAAAAGGTGTAAGCAAGGATGTCACTCATATTGACTTCATTGTGATTGGTTCAATGCAAGTGGTCACAACCTAATTGGTCAGTTGCTACTGGTCAATCAGAAGTTTTTGCTTACCTTAAATTAGGAGTGATTGGTTCAGTGGAAGTAGTGCAGCCTGATTGGTCAGTTGTACTGGCCAATCAGAAGTCTGTGCTAACTTCAAATGAAGCGAAAGAAACTTTTGATAGAGAACTGAGAGAAAAGTGCCTGAATTATAGGCTATGTTGGGGAAGAAGCTGCTATTAAGATGGCTTAAGAAAGTTATATGTCAAGACTTCATAGTAGTTATTGTACATTTCACTGGTAATATGATCAGGACATATTACTCATATTGTGCAATTTGTCCTGAAGCTTGTTACAACTGCTACTCAAAACAATTCAGTGCTTGTCAATTCAAAACCAACAGAGATGTAATGTTAGGTAACAATAATAATTCCAGTGTTACAGCAAACCACACTGTCATAATTATGTTCAACAATATCAAACAATGAGGGAACTGAGTCCCCAAAAGTTTCAATTTCATTGGATTAATGCTTTGTTTTAATGCTTTACTTATAGCCTGCACTTGTCAATGTATGGCCAAATGGGATGGGCTTGCAAGTAAGGAGGAGGAACTTGATTTGCCCTTGCCCTGTATGGTTAGCCTGGTTACCAAACTTCTTTTAGCTGCCAAGTACGAATCTGTCCTCTATTTGCAGAGAGAACAAAAGTGACGCAGAAGCTAAAATAGGTTGGAAACCAGGCTACTCTAGGGTATAGTGTAAACCTTGACAAGTGTATTTGGTACAGTTGTGTTTCCTCAGTTATATTTTCCAAGGTTTAGAACATTGAACAATTGTACATCGAGATGTTGAAAGAGGAAGGTGTATGACTTGTGTGGTGGAGAAATATTTTGATGTGACAGGAGAGCATTAGATACATCATAGTGTACAAACCTAGGATTACAACATATAACAGCAGAAATCCACATGCAGATACATTCACTACTGATTGTGTGCTGGATGCCAACACTTCTCGTGTAGTTGCAGAATGTCAGTCAAGTAGAGTTAACAGAATTGTATTACAGACATGCAACACAGTTTAGAAGGTGAGTGGTTATTGCATGGAGGATGTGCACATTTTGTACCAGGTACAAATGTACAGTTGATGCACATAATGTATAATCACAAGTTTGCATCCTTGTTGAATCAGCTTTGAAATTAGTTGTAACACTTTTTATTGACATTTATTCTGGTTATGTTCTAGTTGCATATAATATATACTGAAGTTATATACCTGTGGCTGGAAATTGTATATGAAAGACATTTGTTTCTGCAGGATTTGTTTTTGCTACTACAAAAGAGATATTTGAAGTACAATACTGATAGCTCATGTATATTGTAACATGAAATTTTGTTATTAATATCTGGATGCTGATTTTGATAAAAATGCTGTCATAAATGATTATGTATCTGACTTGGATGTTATGCCAAAAATACTTGTTTTAATTTTGTACACTGTGTTCTAGTGTTTTGTTGTGATTTTGATATGTTGTGTTTTTTCGGATGGAACGCCAGAGTTGCTGTCAAATTGTACCCATTCAAGTCTGCTGTTGCAGAATATTAAAGTCGGTTATATCAAAGTTTATCACCTTGTATTGTTTGGATTTTACTGTAAATGTCAATCTTAAAGGAAAGCAGATAGTTCTACAAAATTGATAATTGAACTTGATGTTGGACCAGTTACTGCTCAAAATTAAGTAACATTAGTAGTTAACAGATTAAAATATAAACAGATAAGAAACTAGAAAGGCCGACATTTGCTTGGGAGCAAATACAGCATATTTTAGTCCATCTCCCTCCCACGCAAAAGTGGACTATTCCAAACTTACCCCAGTGTAAAACTGGCAAAGATTCTCAAATAAATGAATTACAAATGTATATAGTAGCCATGTAATTGAGAACAAAGATGCAAGAACAAGCACATTGAATCTCGAAAGCTTTACTAATCTTTACAGGTATGCAAATACTAACAATGATGAGATTTGATACATTTTGAAGGTCTTAGGCACATAAAATTGAATGTGTGGGTCATTCCGCATGACTTACGTGCAATGTGACCTCAGGTAACCCGCAATGGAACACGTGTTCCATATTGGCCAATGGCAGATGGAACAGGCCATTCTTTAGATAGAACATGGAACGGGTATAGCACTTTTGGCCCTTTTTTTTGCTGAAAATAGCCATTAAAGTCCCCCAAATGAGTCATTTTGGAAGTGGTGTATGCCAAATATGTGACTGCTATTCTGTAGTACGACATGTTCAAGGTACCCTTATACCGAATTTCACATCATTTGGTT